ACGAGGGGACTGATTGAAGTCGGAGAAAGGTGTGAGTGACGCTAGAACGGAAAGCATATTACTGGGGTCGATTTCTGCATGGGTCTCTGCCGAAGCTCCAGACGGAGATGTGTCCCCGACCCCCGATTTCAAGCCTCGAAAGTTGCATGCTATCTGTAACGTCATTTGCTCAAATGGACCAATCAATTCAATTTTGGATTCAGTGCCGCACTGTATGACTGGGCGCACGCATCGCGCTGCCTGTGAAAATAGATATAATCCAGGAAAAGGAGATGAATTTGTAGGCCCTTGATCAATGAATGCTATTTCCAGAGTTGGATCCAATCCTAAACGGAAGGCAGAGTTCGCCTTAAGTCGACGCAGTGCATCAGAAATCTTTGCGCAGACAAGACAAGGTGCAGAGCCCAACAAAACACCATCGAGGCATATATTGAGGGTCGAGTCACAAATCCTTTGCCGTGATAGCACGAGAAACGTGCAATCAATCCCGCAACTGCTAGTATGATTGGGTGCCATACCAAGCGAAACGATAATGTCAAGTAGTCTCGAGTGGGCATGTATACTATTACTTCTCGAGCATATGATATGAGCTCTTGCTGTGAGGTGAGATAATAATCCGCACGGTCCACCATCAGGTGTGTGTACAGGACAAAGGAAACCCCAAGCCTCCGGAAGCAGTTTTCGGACAGCTGTAGTTTTCATTGTTGTGAAGAACTGCCCTCTATGCACAGAGCGGAAGTGGCTGAAGTATCGCCACTTGTTCAACCGCTCAGCGACAATTGCAAAGCCTGTTGTCTGTTGAAGGTCTAAGCCACTAGAAGAAACAAGGTTTCCAGACGCAAGAAGGGACGAAACTTTGTCGCATATAATTCCACTGTACCGGCCAATGGTCTTGCCACAGTAGGCTAGTGGTTCGTATCGCAGTTTTGATGCAATATCATCGAAATCAATGCGGGCTTCCCGCTGCACATGTGATGCGGCTTGAGTGAGCGACTCTCCCAGCTTTTCTGTCACAAACGCGCTTAAAAGGTGCCCTGGTAATAGCAATTCTTGGTAACCTAGAGAGTCAATATTGTCTTCACAGCATTCATTTCGTGCAAAACAGCACAACTTTCGAGCCATGAGCACGAGCACATCGTGCTTGCTTAGGAAATCGTCCACGTGGACCGCAATGAATCTTCGTATGAAAAATTGACCAACCGTGGCGTTGTCAGTCCCCTCAGGGAAGTAACCAAAAAAGAAATTCAAAAACATGGAACCAAGGATGGAGATAGCACTCTTAGAACTATGGTCGTTTTCTTCAAAGTATGGCGCCATGGCATGATCACGCAGCATGCCTGACAAAACTGGAGATGACGTTTTGAAATCTTGTGTGAAAACGCAGACAGGCACGCTCAACCTGTGGAGCACCAAGTGCATTGATTGCGCCTCCAGAATCACCAATAATCTGGGCATACACAACTCGATCTGAGATTCCAGGCTGCAACGCTTTGAGTATGATACATAGCGGGATCATCATTTCTTGCTTTCGTATAGAAACACGCAAGCGCAAAGTTCCATTAGAGAGATAATGCAAGGTGATTGTGCATGTTGATTGATCTGGCCTCGCGCAACGCATCATCACAGCATACCTTTATTGCTCACTCAAACAAGGTAGCATTATGAGACAGAGCAACTCACTCTGTGAAGAAAGTTCCTCGATTTCGGTACGCAGGGCGCTTGATTGCTAGAGCCATGTTTCTCATAGGAACCTATATTTCAGTAAGATAACATTGCAGACAAAGATTGTTCATGTACGACCTGAAGTAACCGAAGAATTTTTTCAAGCCCATTCACAATAAAGTATCCACCATATTCAAAATCCTCCTGTGGCAGTTACAGTCGATCCACCTCGATAGAGCTGAATTCAATGACAAACCTCCCGACTCGAGATTAACCCATTTTTCTTCAATCCCCAGAGGTGACATCTGCACACCAAATATTCATAAAGATATTAGTTGCGTTCGCGGCACCTATGTGAGAGGACCATGATAGGCAAGTGTCCAATGGACCTGGTAAAAATTTCAACAGTGCGACCGTCCACACAACATTCGAATGTTACATCCATCGGAGCCGAATACGTTACTTTGCATTCACGAGATTCCCTTGGAGTTAAATGAATCACGCTGACAAAATCATCGTCAAGAACTGTTGGGTGCCCGATATTCACTGATGCGACGCAGAACGAAACATGGAGTCTTTCTTTCGACGGACCTTCGAGCACGAACTTCTGCGGAGGAACACCAGTCACGCCAATGGCTAGAGTCTCGTCCATGAATTGATTAAAGCTCTGTATATGCGGCTGGGCGGGTGTAAGAGGAGATGCCATTATCGATGAATCGGGTGGGTGTCTAGTTAGCAGATATTAAGGAATGATACAAGATATAGAAGGATAATAATAATAGTTACATAGGAAGTTAGGGTAGTTTATTAGCTTCCTAACGTCGCTATGACGTCAGTCAAGCTACTATCCAGCAGGTGCACTGTCCGGCGACTGTGCTACCTCGTAGAGCCTGGTGCTCTCTGGCACGTCGCTGTGACGCTAACCAGACAGACACCACAGACACCGTGTGACAGAAGAGCGCTGTGGTACTTCTGTCTCTGCTTGGCAGTCACTCCTTCAGTTCGCTGTCTATAAGACTTAAAACTGGATTAGAATGAATTAAGGAACTTCGGAAGGGAAGGGAGACTAGCAGGATACGCAGTAGGAGCGCAGTGGGGTAAAGTGCACTACAACGTCAAGATGCTCCTGACCTAAACGGTAAAAAGAAAGTGAGATGGGGGCTGCTAAGCAGCCCTGATTCCCAACAGGAGAGGGTCACTCTATACTGTCCTAACGTGGAATAGAAAGAAGGAAAGAGAAGGAAATTGGGGAAAGGAGAAAGAGCCCCCATACTAAAATGGGGACCTTGAGACTGAACTCAGGCTCGTGAGGATATGAACCCGCAAGGATAGAAAGAAGGGGAAAATAAGGACAGCAGGGCAGATACAGGAGAATCTTCCTCCTGAGGAGGCCTTCGAGGCTCACTCAACTTATTTTATGCCACTCAACTTACATGTATGTATCTTACTTGACATCTAAGCTACTTTTTACTTAAAGCTACTTGGTTGTCGGGTTGTCAGCGTTGATGCCAACGGGGTAACTTGACAGTGCATAGGCAGTTACATACGGGAAAGTTATGGACGGTTTGCGGCGTGGGCAGCGGCCAAGGGGGTGCGTCCGAATTGCGTATCATTCATCCTGTATCAGCCACGGTGCGGGGTAGGCGGCGCTTACCGCGAAATCTGCTTCCCCTGCAAAAAAACAGTGAGATTGCGAATGCTTGGCGAAAGCACCGTAGCGGATTGTACGATAAAACGTCCGGTCGCAGGCTTGATAGACCCGAGTTGTTGTCGCAGAGCTCGAGTAACATAATGTTAGGATCCATCGTGGATGTCATCGACGCGAAGACGCACCGGATCTTGAATGACTGGACAACCTCGTATGAGGATGAAAATAACAGGTGGCAGAGCGTCGCCATCTGGGCAGAACGAATGATTCGCGAGCAATTCGAGCGGGATAATCTTTCGAGGGCTCCAATCCCAAACAAGCAAAGGACAGTGCTCGTCCTTACCGTGTTCGAGAAGCTCAGCATGTTATTTGCGCGCTTTGGGCCCGTGTTCGCTGTTCTCCGTCGCGAGCTCCTCGCTTCGATCTACGTGAACGATTTATATATGGAGCGTGGCCACAATTGGATAGCGCGTGAGGCCCATTTTACTAATTACCTTGATACGTCTGAAGCACTTCTCGAGCGCCCGACGTGGTTTGAAAAGCACGCCCATGTCAACCACCAGCTGCACAATGCCAAGGAGATAATGATGGGCGGAGATGCCGAGGATAGAACGGTCGATGCGTTCAAGAAGAAGATGGGCAAGCAATTTAGCAGGATGCTGGACCCGACGACAAGCCTCCTGCGGCGGGCTCTGTTCTCGGTCTGGAAGAATTGGCTCTTCAGGGAAGACGACAAGAATGCCATCCTGATACGAGATCGCGCTAAGCGGAGAGATGCGGACCTTGTGAGGCTCACATTTAATGCGCTCCTCATAACTTTGACTCGCAAGTACAAAAGCATCGTAGAAAAGCTCAAACGTCAGGGGTCCATCCTTGCTCGCTGCCCCTACGCACAGTTCACTAAAACACAGAAGCAAGAAGCAGCCACGATCGTTCAACTACTTGTGACCCACGCACCTCCTTTCTTCGAAAGAACGCAGGGAGGCGCAGTGCTCGATATGGCCATGCGGCAGTGGCTCGGTAAAGACCAGGGGTGGCAGGCTAGCGCCCTTCAAATCGAAGAGATGGCTAAGCGCGTCAACCGGCGTCGTCACCCAGCGTTCAAGCGGTCTGGAGAGCTTCCTCGGGGATGGTGGGGGTCATTTGCTTTTCCACAGGCGCATCGGCCTGCACGATAATGAGGTCCAGAACATCGCCGAGCCGGAGCCGTGCGCTGTCTGCATAGTCCGCGAGGCCGTCAAGCGGGTCCACGTTGGAGCACAGACAACAGCTGCACCCTGCCCGGAACTGATCGTTGAAGACGTCAAGAAGAAAGTCGTCAAATCGAAGGTTGAGAAGGACATTGTGGTGCCTCCACTCCCCGTTGAGACGTCCTGTGTTCTAATTGCGGATATCTACGACGTCATTGTCGCGTCGGAGATCAAGAGCCAGGCGCTCCGCAGTCAGGGTCTCCCCTCACCCGATCTGTCGCTCAACGAGCTTGTGCGCGACTGCCTCAACCGAAAGTATGGGATCCGGACCCTTGCCAACAAGAACCTCCAAGGCCTCCTCACGGGGGCTCGCGTCGATGCGCATCCCAGGCTTGAAGTCTTCGCCAAGCTCTGGGGCATATGCGCGGGCACCCCGAAGGAGAAACAATTCCTCCTGAACCGTCACCCACTGCTTACGACCACTTATGGCCATGCCTTCTTCCGACTCTTTTCGCGATTTCTCTCAGAGCTGCTGGCTGCTGCTCGTGAGTGGAAACCCGAGTTCCCTAAGCTCAGCATAGTTCTCGGCTCTAAGGAACGGGTCATTAATAAGGATGCTGTCCGTCAGGCGATTGGGATCGTCTGCACGACTGTAGCTTCGACACAGTACTACGCTGAGGTCATCGCCACCGGCCTCGCTGCGATGCCGACGACAAAGGAAAAGTTGGTAGAGCGCAACAAAAATAAGGTGGAGATGGTAGTAATCGACCAAGCAATTCTCATGATACTGCCATGGCTCGTGGAGGAGCACAAGCAGACCGTTCTCGGCAACATCACCTTTGCGAGCGCCACCCGAATCCAACGATTCCTCGTAAAGCGGGTTCGTAACGCACAAGAACTCGGGAGACAATGCCTGCTCTGGGCTGATGTATTCGAGCGAGTCGATCGTCGGCTACACAACAGTGGCGGTAACGGACACGAGAGAGGACTCTTCACCCTTCCTGAATTTCATGTGAGTCGAAGTCAAGCGTTCGTTTCTGTCAGTTGCCTAACCATTACTCAGGTGCTAGTAGAAATGTCGCATGGCGCAGCGCTTTCCGAACGCCTACTTAACACTATGTTTGATAAATGGCACGAGCGTTGCTCTGTCCTTGGCAGAGCAGAGCTCAAGGAGAAGCGCAAATCGTCGGCGCTGCACAATGCCGCTATCTCGATTCAGCGACACGTGCGCGTCAGACTTCAGTATGGGGCCCGCGCCACGGCGCTCAGAGCATCCCGCTCGAGAATCTCAATCGCTGCTCATCTGAGCGCTAACCGCCAAGCATTCCTTGAAGCCATGCAGCGTGCTGCCAGGCTGCACGCTATCGAAAAAGCATTCTTCTTCTCTACTATGAAGTGGCAGACTCCAGAACAAGAACGTGTGGCGGCTATCGAGGCGGAAAGGGCCCTCGGTCCTATCGCCAAACAAGCCTTCGGCTGGACCATGTGTGCTTTTGGCTTCTATGCCGCATCGTAGTAGTGCCTTTCGAAGTAACAGGGCAGGCTAGCGTTTTTGTCAGATGCCACTGTGGTGTTACTAAGCGAGCAGATTAACCCAAGTCTCTAACCAAAATGCATGGTAGAGCCGGTAGTGGCTTTTCCGACACAAGCTTGCGAAATACCCAGATAGACCGAGCGAAAAAAAGCGGACGCAGTATGCCACTGCGTTCGTGATCTCGCGCTCGGTGACCGGGGTGGTTGTGTACGTCGCGCGTGGCGCGACGGCGGTGACGCCGCCGACGACGGGCTGGTCCTCGCGGCCATCGCCCGAGTCGAGCTTTTGGAGAACGCTCCTGCCGTTCGCGTGGTAGATACCTTTCACGACGGTGAAGCGGCGCGTGTCCGCGGGCGGCTAGTGCCTGATGATTGGGCTGTGACGTTTGCAAGCTCCTGGGAATCAACTGTTCTGAGGGTGTTTGTTTGTCTTATTGAGGCCACTTCCTCTCTCAGCGCTTCGTTTGCTGAGGAGAGTTGCATCACTGCATTCGATAAAGACTCAAGTGTGAGTGCAGGGCCAGATTCGGAAAGTTCGGTGGGTGGAGCTGGCACCGTTATTAGTTTTATAGGATATACGTACAAGGGTCTGTTATCTAACTGCGTCTTAGAGGTATTCCTGTGGGCCCATAACCTAGAGAAATAAGGTTATGCTATTGGTAAACTAGGCAATGGAGTTGTTAGAATCCGAGTATGCTAGTATGAAGCTCCAGCATAGTATAGCATGAGCATAGCCTAGCCCAGACCACATCGGGGGAAATTAGCCAGCACTAACCACGCATACCGGCGAATGCCCGGGAAATAGAAGATAAATATGGGACCCCTATCGGGCCCGGACGGCGCGGTCCTGGAAATTATTGGAAATAGGAAGGAACTCAAGCATTCTATTGGCGGCGAATTACACGGCGCTTCAACTAAAAGCGGCGACTTCGATAATATTACCGGCCTGTCCCGGGGCAAGCGCTGCGTCGATTCCAAGACCTGGCGCTGCGCAGGGTCTATGGACCATGCCGCGCCTCGGGTCCCGCAGCGAATCGCTCCGGAAAGGCCACCGGTCGAAAGTGATCAAATTTGTTTGCGTCGGGGCAGCCCGTGGATGACGAGAATGGCCGTTACGGTGGGCGGCGGCCGACGAGGGGCCCAACCTCGTGCTGGGGGTCGAGCTGGCAGCGCGAGTGCGAGGTGACACCCCCTCGATTGTCCTTCTCGAGCGGCTCGCAAAGGACCGCGCTGCCTACCTGGAACATGCATTATTGCGTGGTGAGCGCCGTGTAACCCGCGGCGTCGCGCGCCTCCCGGAGGCGGTGAGGTGATCTCGATCAAATCCGCTCGAGCCGAAGAGCTGCCGCGAGTGGATCTGATCGCCCTCATGACGAACGATTCCCGACGCTCTGTGACTCGAATGCGACCGAGAATTGGGTCGGGGGAAGCTGCCGCGCCTCATTCCACCCCCTGGGGCTGCCCGCTTGCGTCGCCTCGCAATCGTCCGGATGTCGCGTCTTTTTATGTGCCTCACCCACATGTTTGCGGACCTCAAAGCCGCTGGGATCGTTGCACGTCATTGCATATTCGAGGAGCGCGGGGCCCTCTAAGGTGGAAATTCCATCATCGGCCGCTATACTGGTCGCCGCCGCTGAGGCTAGCCCTCGGGCTGGCCAATGAAATAAATGCTCGCGATGGGCCGGCCAATGAAAGAAATAGGATGCTGCCAGCACTCCATAATTTCACGCACGACGTCCCCAGCACTAACCGAGATACCCGAATTTCCCACGAAATTAAAGTCCGTCGAAAGGGCCCGACTACCGTCGGCAAATCAATTACCCGAGATGCACCCTAGCCGAAGCATAGCCAGTATAAGGCCGACTTAGCATAGCCAGCATAGGCCAGTATGAGCGTCCCAGCATAGGGAGGATAGCATAGTCCCGAGTTAGGGTAGTATAGCCCAAGGAGCAGAATGTAGGCTCCCTAGGTAGCTGGCTTATCGCCAAGCGCACTTTGATTGTGCTTAATCACACTCGCGTTCTAAGGGCGATATTCGCCGCTTTATCATGGTAGCAGGTGCACTGTGATCGCAACCAAAACCGAAATACACACGGGCGACACCCGCACTACACACACGAAACACACACGCGAATTTACAAACAAAACCCGCGACGAACAAAGCCCCAACGGCGAGCATGACGACCGAAATAAGGGGAGTCCGGTACGATGGTAGCTTCAGAATACCGGAAGGTGGAACAGCATACCCCAGCAGACCGGGCGGGTCGAGACTAAGCCAATTTCCGAATCTGGGTGGCGACGACTCCACCATTAGACAACAATTTTCATCATGGGACACCATGGCACCCCCACCTCTGTAGCCAGCATAGGCCAGTATGAGCGTCCCAGCATAGGGAGGATAGCATAGTCCCGAGTTAGGGTAGCATAGCCTGCAGCGGGCAAGACCTGCGCCTTCTCGAACTCGAAAGACACCTCGAGTTGCAAACCCAAATGCGGCGACACCCAGCACAGCAGGCTGCGATGTGGGGTAGGAGTGCATTCCAGACGAGGCCGAAATTTAGAGCCGAATAATCAAAAGCCGGACCGAAATTAATCAGAAGTTCACTTTCAAAAGTTCACTTTTGTACTAGTCCTCAGATACCTAATTGTCGGTTCGCTGCAAAGGCTCAACAACAAACAAAACGAGTGCTGAGAATCGACTCGTTCGAGCTATAGAGCTCAAACAAGCTCACAACTGATGCCCTCCATGGAATTCATAACACTGCTGCGCCACCTGTGGCTGTCGAGCCGGGCTATGGTAATTTTATGTTGAACTTTCCCACGCCTATGTTGCACTTATTGACATCGTGTGGTCCATGTGAGCCATTCGAGGCGCCTAGAGCACCGCACACGCCGTTCCATCAGTCTCCGAGCACATCCATGAAGCCCTGCGGCCCACACACTGCCCGGCGGCGGCTGCTGACGACCACAGGTTACTTCAACATAGGGCTGCCTATTCAACTTGAACTTCAACATGGAGCTGGGCCGCGCTCGTTTCGGCCACTCTTTTGCTCCAGAAACGTTGGAATAGAGCAAAACTTCATGCGGATGCATTTATTCCAACGTAATTGCACGCGTTTTATGATCGACTAATCGAATTTGGTTGATCCGTCTCACGAAACGACAATTAGGCTACTGAGGAGGAAGTATAAAAGTCAACTCTCGCTCAATCTCGTCACTGCGCCGCCGGGGCCCCGGGTGGGCCCTAAGCGTCGTATTTCCCGCGGGCTCGAAACAGTGGGTCCGCGTAAAGGCAGTAGCCCTGCGCAGTAGCCCCTGGACAAGCGCGGACCGAGGAGGCGTACAGCGACCTCGCCGACAAGGCGACGGTGCTGCACTTTGAGCAGCCCGCGGGAAATTCGATGCGATCTAGTTTGAGCCCTCCTGGGGGCCCGGCACCTGCATTCGCACCCAGCGCCAGCGCACTTGACGAAGCCTAGGGGAGGCCAGTACTTGATTTTGTCAACACCCCCGCCAGCGCCCGACCCGACACAACGCCAGCGCAAGGGTGTTAGCGGGGTTGTTGCAGGGCTGTTGGCAGGTCCCAGGCGGGAGGGTCGAGACGATCATTGTCTATTGGTCAGATAAGGAGCCCTTTCGTAATTGCTGCCAGAACTAAGGCCCTGAGCTGCTGCTGTCGCGAGGGTGGACTCAATGTCGGCATATGGGGCCGCATCCATGCATCGATCCTCACTCTTTGATTTTCCTATGTTGACACTTATCGGAAGGTCTATAATCCTTGCGTCTTTCTGCGAGGCTTCATCGCCCAGGGTAACGGTATAGTCGACTAATACTGGGTCTAAACAGAGGAGATGAGGCAAAAGCATTGTATCGAGCTGGGAGAATGTAAAAGCGGGTACATTGAAACACGCATTGAGTACGGAATCACAATTAATTACCTAGATACAAAAATCACATCTGAGAATTGACTTTGCACGCCATATGCGATCTGACACGGCTATGGACACGGCTGTCCTTAATGTCACGGAGCTGGAGCCTCTCAATGTAGCGCCCGAGCGCAGCGACAATCTGTTTTTTGGATTCGCTACTGTGACGTAGCTTGATGATCTTTGACAATAGGGGTGATAACTTGAAACGTTTAGGAGCACACCTCAGGCTCAAGGCAAGTCGCACATGGCAAGACCTTGTTCCACGCCGGCATGGTCGTTGCACGATAAAGCCGCCCACGGTGGTGCGCTGCATTGGTGGCACCCACGTCAACATGGCACCATTAACTAGCTTTCTATCCAAGGTTATCTCCACTCTGCTCACTACTTCACTAAAATGTACCCCCCCCCCCTCCGACTTCCCTTGACACCCATCATCCACGATCGCACCCTCAACATGCAGCTCCCAATGACCATCAAATGAGGACCGCCCACGTTTTTTCGACAAAGGACTACTTGATGTCAATCCTTGGAGTGTTTCTGCGTCAGCAATTGCCCTGGGACATGTCCAACGCTTCACGTGAGTGATCCAAAGGCGGAGAACTCCGCTTGCGCAGCTTGATGCTGAAATGCCAGACACAAATCGTACCTACGTCGACATATATCATACATGAAGAACAGATGTACCCCGCAAATCGATTCAAACAGCCCGCCGGATGCCTGTGCGTCTTTCCAGCTCATCTAACTCTTTCTCGAAACTGTCGATTCGTTGCAACACGTGGGAACGCGATGGATGCTTTATCTGCAGAAAAGATGGTCTACAATTCATACTTCAAATAAGCTCACGCCGTATGGCGTATATCGCGCTTTGCCCATTACTCCGACGAGTTAGAGACGCTCGGACAAATGATTCGAACGTCCGATGTGATTAGTCAGGTAATCTTCGATAGCCAGGAAAGTAGCGCCCAGAGGAGAGAGAGAGAATGAGCTGTTATTTATTATTGCAGCTCAGTCGATACTCGCTCCTTATGCTCTTATCTGGCCGGCGCTGCTGAAGCAGCCCGCCGGCGAAATTCTTTCTAAGGAAGGGGCATAGGGTAAATTGGAGAGGCGGCGACCATTTATGGAGTACGGGCATGACAACTGAGCAAGCAGACACCAAGTCTGATGCACAGTTCATGGCACGCCTGACTGTGGGCCTCACAGGAGAGCAGGCAGCGATCGGCAGCCAGGTGGTGGAGAAGCAAACCAACTGCCGCGCCGAAAGTACGAAGAAGAATCAAAGGTCAGCTTGGGCAGGAAAGGGCGGATGGCTCACCTTTTGTTCTGAGTATGAGGCCAAACCAGTGCGGGTGTACGAAAGTGGACCAACTCCGGAGCTGATCAAACTTGATTCCAATTTATTTGTGTGGTTTGCCCTATGGAAGATAGGCAAGATGCAGGGGCCGGATGGCAAGGGCCGGGGCAGAGAGATCAACACGGTATTTTCGAATATATCAAGCATCAAAGGCTACACGAAGGAGAGGTGGGGGCTTGAAGTCCAGCTTGACCAGAACTGGCTTAACTTCCAAAAGGAGAGCTGGACGGTGGAGCGGCTCAAGACCCATGGCCCAGCCCCACGGTTTCGGAAGCTTGCAATTGTGGCTAATCATATGATCCAGATGAAGCGCACTCGGATTGATTGGGCGAGGGACTGGCCCCATACCTTCTTTACCATGTGCCAAGCGGCCATCGAGAACGGATGGCGGCTGGGCGACATGACAAGCAAGAACTCAGCATAGCCAGCTTAGGCCACTTTGAATGTGCTTTATCACACTCGCGTTCTGACCACGATAGTCGCCGTGTATCAAGAGAGAGAAAGAAAGAAGATGATACCACGCAGGGGTGCCGCCGGCGCCACCGTGGTGACCGGCAGGTGGAGATGCTTAAGTCGTGGGTGGGTCCGATGTGATTAAGCACAATCAAAGTAGCAAACCCCGGCTTAAAATAAATCGTACATGACAATATTGTAACGTCAAGTGGATGGCCCTGCCCGCAGCCGCAAAAGCTTCCAGTCGGCGACAGTCTAGGCGACGGCGGCGGCGACGCAATGGAAGCTATGATGAAATTCTTCTGTGCGCGGCAGAATGCAAGTGCGCATCGGCGCCTCCGATGGCGTCGTTTATACGCTTCTTAAAGAATACGCTTCTTAATAATATATAAGTGATGTGCATATAAGCGACGTGCCCCCCTTAAGGTACGACTGTGTAATCGAAGCCGCGCAGGAGCTTGGCTGGCGAATTGTGTGTGAACGCGAGAAGGATGTTACATTGCTCGACGACCCAGAGTGCGATTTTTGCAACGTGTATTGGATAGACGTGGCCAACATTGCAGAACGGATGAGCAAGCTCCGACCATGGCAGCGAATCAATCACTTTCCTGGGATGAGTAATATTGCTCGCAAGAATCGGTTAGCGCAGAATCTCGAGAAAATGCGCCGCGAGTACCCAAAGGAGTACAGCTTCTACCCCCGAACATGGGTTCTGCCTTTGGAACTTGCTGACTTTCGAGCCCAATTTGATTCTACTGGGCGATCTTCACGGTTTTATATTGTCAAGCCAGACTCCGGGTGTCAAGGTCGTGGAATTTTTCTAACTCAAAATTTTGATAGCATTTCGCCATTAGAACAAGTCGTTGCCCAACATTACATACGGAAGCCGTTCTTGATTGATGGATTTAAGTTTGACTTGCGCTTGTATGTACTCATCACTAGCTGCAAACCTCTTCGCATGTATTTGTTTCACGATGGACTTGTCAGGTTGTGTACTGAAGAATATTTAAAACCAAATGCAGAGAACGTAGCGATGCGCTGCATGCACCTGACTAATTACGCGATCAATAAGCACAACGAAAACTTTCAGAGCAATGAAAATGTAGACGCGGGCGATGTTGGTTCGAAGCGCTCTTTGCGATGGTTCATGGATTACATTGCTGGTGAAAAAGGTCAGGTCAAGGCTGATTCTCTTTGGCGCCGGATGGGCACCATGTCTGTAAAGGTGATTATTTCAATTCTACCAACATTGGTTCGCGAATATGAGTCAACTTTTTTCAGAGGGGCAGGTGGCTTGGAACGATGTGCCGCAGAGCCGAAGCGACCCAGCTGTGATCAAGGCAGTACAAAATCAGATGCACCGGCCGTATACGAAGAAACTCTCAAGGGAAGCAAATTGGCTCGTCGACGGGTGGTCGAAGGATCTCGATGTTTTGAGGTTCTTGGTGTCGACATTATTGTCGACCATGCTTTAAAGCCATGGCTCGTGGAAGTTAATCATCTTCCGTCTTTTGCTACTGACTCACCACTAGACTTGGATATAAAGTCGCGAGTAATTGAACAGACAATGTCCATTGTCAAAGCAAAGGCTAATGACCGCTTCGTTTATGAGGAAGCTGAACGCTCGAGGGCAGAGGAGCGACTTTATAATAGCCAGCCTACCAGTTTACCAATGGCAAATCTGGTGCAAGAAGGAGTGCTCCTCTCGCAAACCCGACGGCGGATCGAAGATGTGCTGCGACGTCATGCACCAGAGAAATTGGTAAAAGTAAGTGCTCTTCTACAGAAGTATGTGGGGCGCGAAGACAAACTTGTGAGACTCGTTGAGCGCAAGTACCTCACAAACAGTACAACAAGCGTGTCCATTCCACCCACAAATAGCGCGGAGCAGGGTCATTTCGGTAGATCAACACCCAGCGCGCATTCAGATGATGGTGATGATGTTGATGGATCTCAAGGCAAACCATGGTCCACCCGTGTAGGTGGCAAACGGCCACCCCTCAATCAACCTAACGAAGACGCAACCGACAGTGACATTGAACTCGAAGATCAACTGTTAGTAGATTTCGATAGAATATATCCTGTACCGAGTGAAATTCGCAAGCGCAATCTTCAAATTCCAGATTATAAGGCTCTGACTCAGTTCGTATTTGCACAAGATGAAAAGCGGATCAAGCGTCTCTCATGTCCCTTGAGGCAAAACCGTGGTTCTGCACTAGACTTTGCCGAGTCTCTTCCGCCCCTCAATGATAGTATGAAGGATACAAAAGATGGGCGAATCCCCTGGGGTGATCCATTTCGGCGCCATGGTGAAGCGCAACTTGGAAAATCGTTTTCTCTTGCCGAACGAAAGCCCCTTCCGATGCCCGGTCAAAAGCAGGCGGCTGCGGCTGATCGATTGACTCGTGGGTTCTCTTCCCGGCAGCATACTTCAGCGCCGAGCTCGCTCGGACATCTTCCAGACGATACTGACATGTGCCAGATTGGTGACTACACTCAAAAGGTGGCCAACACTGTTGCACATGCGAAAGAATGGCGTCGCAGAATGGACGATGTGCGAAATCGCCGAAATCATGGCCAGGTTGCCCTCCAGCCAAAGACCTTCATCTTCGCGCAAACTAATTCGCCAGGCTATGCCTGTCTGGCAACTCCTGCTGTGAGCGCACAGCAGCAGAAGGTCGGTGTCCGTGCATATTTGCCAGCATAGCATAGCCAACATTACCTTCCACTACCTCACCATTAGACGCCCACAGACCCCGCTCGTTGGAGGCACTGGGCACTGAAAAACATCCCTGCACCGTCGTTGGTGAAGTGCACACCAGTGCGGGCGTCGATGGTGCAAGCGGGGGCGCTGGAAATGCGGCTCAGTATACTGCCCCTCCGGCCCGGCTAGCGCCAGCCCTTGCCGATTCGTATTTGCGGGGGTTATCACCGTGACCAGTGCGAAACTAGCAGGCTCGGGGCAGCACTAGGAAGGTAAAGGTGCCTATCGCCAGCCGCACCAGGCGGCAGTCTGCGAAACAACGTACGCCTAGGCGTGCCCACTCGAATTAAATAATTAATATTTATTTATTGTTCCGGCGGCGGGCGGGACGTGTACTGCACCTCCTGAAAATCGGCCGCGCGCGCGGCCAAGCCGCAGGGCCAGAGGCAAAATTGGCGAATTATGGCCATGCCGAAGATAGCGAGGCAAGTTTGCGCGCTAAACGTATCAATCAAGGAAACTTTTTTTTTTTTTGAATTTGAGTGCGCGGGTCGCTGGTTCGGGTCGGCAGGAGTTAGAGAGCTCTGTTAATGACATTTCTAGCAAAGTGCGCCGTCGTGATACGATTCTCAGTAGTCGTGGTGCCACTGGCAGCCGGGTTAGAGACCGGAGTTTCGAATTACGCCCCACATTTACTCCCCTACAGTTTTGCCTGGAGGGGGAGGGGGAGCCGGCTTTAGGCCGGAGTTTAGCTTGAGGGGAAATGGCAGTGTTCCTGACTTAGACTGAAAATGGAAAAGTGAGATGGGGCTGCTGAGCAGCCCTGATTCCCAACAGGAGAGGGTTACTCTATACTAATACTGTCTTAAAGTGGAATAGAAAGAGAGAAAGGGAAGGAAATTGGGAAAAGGAGGAAGGACCCCCATACTAAGGTGGGGACCTTGGGGCTGAACTCAGTCTCATGAAGATATGAGACTGCAAGGTAGGGAGAAAAGGGAGAATAAGCACAGTGGGGCAGATACAGGAGAATCTTCCTCCTGAGTTTAGTTTTCACACCCTTGGGCCAAATAGTTGACACTCAGGTCAAAGACCTTGCCTTTCTAGGGGGCGGTCGCCTGCGCTCGGAGGTAAGGTCTGTCCAGGATTTGATAACACTTGGAGATTGTAATAGCCCCCGGAGACTGATGACTCAGCCTGGAGCAACAAGATAGCAACACCAGCGACGATCTTCGAAAGGCGTTAGCAGAGTAGTAGACAATGGCGCCCCCCAAGAGGGCCAAATTTACAAAGATGGACACGGTGTTTACCGAAGGGTCGATGGAATGTCTATCCAAACGCCTGGTGGTAGACTTCGATGGTGAAATCGCTGCCCAAGAAACGATCGACGCATGCGTTCATCTTGCATTCGTCCACGTCAAATCTAGGATTCAGGAGGAGATGGCAGTATCCTTCGCGGTCGTTTCTCTAGCCCGTACCTGCTGGGACGTAATGGCGATGGTACCGCCGCTGCTTTCAGCGGACATTTTGGCTCCTTTGGGAAGGGCAGGCGAGGAGCCAGATCCAGGCGCGATTGATTCGTGGGCCTCTTTTTACTTGTCGTTGTCCTTACCCAGAGTTCGGTCAGCAACTGATGACTCTGGACATGTGTTCTCACATGAATTAGAGCATCGAGGAGCCCTCTTAAATGCAACAGGAACGCTGGGCAATCCGCCCCGAGTTTTAGCAGCACCATTGGAAACAGACGGGAATGGGCGCCGAGCTATGTCCCGACCCACGAGCGCAGGGTCCGTTCGACGCCCTTCGAGTGCCAACCGCCGGCCCGCGAGCGCCAGTCGTGCTCGGCACGATCTGTTCAAGCTGGCAGATAGCGCGAACAACGGCACGATTAGTGCCGAGGAAATGCACGAATGGTTAAACATGCAATCGCCAATGCCGTTCAGTGAGGTGAAAAAGGTTTTGGATGCGGTCAACCAACCCCAGTCTCAGCCATTCGGGCCTGGTATCTTTGCTGATATTTTGGGGCTGCTTCAGAAGGCCAATCCCAAGCGCTGGGCTATGGAAAATCTTACGGTCTTTGCAATCCCAAAGCCCAGGGCTGATCCACAACTCAGCATGGACGCTCGCGAGCTAAAGGAGATTCTAAATCCAACCCCAGTTGCCAAATCCAAGCTCGAAGAGCTTACTTCATTCTGCACCGCAGACAATGCTTTAGGTGATACTCCAACTTTTGGCACAAGTCACATTATTGACGATCGGGTTCAGCCTGTCCCACTTGTTCCACAAACATTTGTTAGCAATGTTCCCCGCATGTGGACGGCGGCTAACAAGATTGCTAGCACACGCAGCTTGAAGAGTTCGAGACGCCTCCAGTCTGCCTATGCTCACTCCAAACAGCCTAGCATCACGCTCATGCACTCAAGCTCACAGCCAGCGCTCGGAAGAACACAGATTACTAAACAGCCGGCGCTGGGTTCGCTGAACTTCCTTCCGCTCCACTTCCGACAGACGTCCCTCGTTAAAAACTTTGAATTTGTGCCAGAAGCTGGGGTTTCCGCTATCGAATCTTGCGTTAGTCGAAGTACCGATACCAACAATGACTCTCGGACATCTCGAGAAGGCCCCCCCTGGCCTAGCGACCCGAACCATATGACCAGGAGCACCTTTGATAGTCTGAAGACTCCGAAGCGCCCCGAGTCTGTACCCCGGGACACCAACGCAAGTGGTGTAAAGTCAAAAGGCACCAAGGGAGGTGACCTTCTTCTCAGTCCTAATGCATCCGAACAGAATGCACGCAATGAACGCATTGCTCCAAGGCGGATTGGCGGACCGCCGGGCAGCGGTGGTATTGGCTCGATCATTACCTCACCCTTATTTGCCTCCGCATTCCTGGAACTACCCAGCACCGGCGTTGATCCTCTTGCTCCAGAGCCGCTCCACCTTGTAGGTGGTAGGCTTCATCCTGACAATGAGGCTTGCAGCGAGATTCCCGGGGGGAGCTCTCAGGAGCGCATGCAGCTCGAGGAAGCCGAAGCCAAATTCATTCATGAGCTCCGTGGCGAGGATGCTGTCGGCAGGGATGCACCAAATATCCAGCTCCCTGCCTACTCAGCTGATGTGCGCACTCTCCAAAGAACTTCTGTTCTTGAAGGTCGAAGTGTCTCTGTAAGAGAAAGGACCCACAATCACGCCACACGCTTTCCTCTCGCTTTAGAGAGATAGAGGGATTTCTACTCTCATCTTCAGTGAACTGCATCTTGACGTTGTAGTGCACTTTACCCCACTGCGCTCCTACTGCGTATCCTGCTAGGTTCCCTCCCCTTCCTTAATTCATCCTAATCCAGTTTTAAGTCTCATAGACAGCGAACTGACGGAGTGACTGCCAAGCAGAGACAGAAGTAGCATAGCGCTCTTCTGTGTCTGTGGGGTCTGTCTGGTTAGCGTCACAGCGACGTGCCAGAGAGCACCAGGCTCGGCGAGGTAGCACAGTCGCCGGACAGTGGCAGAACCTCGCCCAGAAACCCCCCCCTGCGCTGGAGGGGGCCCCAAGGGACCCGAAACGCCCCCGACAATTCTGGGTCGGCGGCCGGGGGCTTTACTCAGGCGCTGGGGGGCCGGGCGGGGCCCAAACTAGGACGCGTCGAGTTTCCCGCGTTCGGCGACCTCCCCGCCAATTTGGGTCGGCGGCTGGGGGCTTTACCCAGGCGCCGGGGGCCAGCCGGGGGCCCGGGTGGGGTCCAAACTAGAACGCGTCGTATTTCCCGCGTTCGCGCCAGGGGGGGGGGGGGGGGGGGGGGCCCCAATTTCCACCCAAAAAATTTTTCCCGTGGGTTTTTCGGGGCCCGGCCCCGGGGGGGGGGGGGCGCCAAGTTGCGACCTACAAACTTGTTCCGTTGGGTTTCTCGTGTCCAGTCCCCCCCGGCAAAGTCACCGAGACAGCGCCAGGCGCGGAGCACTCATGCGCGCCTGGGGGCGTGGCTCGTAGCAAAGTTCCAGTGAAGTGTCTTGGAGCAAAAATGACAGTGTTTAGGGGGAGAGGCAAGTGTTGGCAAGTGTTTCAACGGCCAAAAAAAGGCGAAAAAAATGAGAATTACCACGAAATATGTAAAAAAAAACGCCGAAATCGAACCAGCAACTGTTCCGTCGCGCTGAAGGAAGTGTTCCGTCGCGCTGAAGGAAGTGAATTTGCGAAATCATTGCCTGGCCCTGAGCTGCCTTTGCTGGGCTGTAGGCGCAGGATAGTCAAGCTGTAGGCGCAGGATGGTCAATTATGATGCGGCGCAACCAATTCGTGGGGCCTCGTAAGACGAACTATACCCAGACTATACCATCTGTGTCAGGCACGAACTTGGAAACGACCGGACTTGGTGATAGTACGAACACCTTTGTATGGGCGATAGCGCTCATTAGTGAGCTGGAGAGCCGCAATCTGAATACCAGAAATCGAAGCGATGGGGACCTTCCAGGTCACTTGGATTGGGGGCAACTCCTCCAAAGCGCCTTGAATCACCATGGATCCAGTTAGCTGGGGTACCCTGTTTCCGGTCACGGCCAGCTTGCCAACAGTCCATTTCGCTACTTTAGTGGCTTCATCGTAGAGGACCGTTCCTAGGGTCGCAGATAAGGTGGCGGTCTTGACACATTTTGGAAAAGGAATAGACAAGGTCACATCCTCAATGAGCAAAGACCCTTTGCGATTAGGGATAACAAGTGAGGACGTCTGCTTCTGACCGATTTGTATCTGGATACGACCATGACCTGCGTTGTGTTCGTCAGACATGGTCACTGAGGGTGTGACATAAATTGGTGCAGAAACGTTAGCCTTGGTGTTGACACGATATCGCATGAGTTCAAATGCACCGTCTGGAGGTACAAAGCTGACGACACGGTCGCGTTCAAATCTATTGTATCGTACGCAGGGGTGAAATGAGCAGTCGTCAATGACCTCTGGATCCACAAAACTCAGACAAAGGTCAGGAATGCCCGAGAGACGAGAGTTGGCCATTATGGCCCCAGTCACCTCTGAGGACACTACCTGCCCATTTCGATCAACAATTGCGTCCACCTCTTCCACTATGTCGAGGTAGATGTCGTTCTGTGCGTACTTGACGCCCGACTTGCGCCAGGGCATGGATGAGATGGTCCCGTCAGGCAATACATCGCTCACATTTGATCTCCCCGTTGCGACAGCCTGTAGCCGACCCATGACAGAGGGTGGCTTGATCATCGCTTTCAATGCGTTTGGCTCCGTCGTCAAGGGGTTCCCATTGTCCAGCATTTCCTCGAGAAGTTGGTAGACCATAGAAAAATTATCTTTGATTGAGCCCTCATCTGCGGCACCAAAGTATTCAACGAAGATATCAACCACTCGATGCAAGAACTCAATCACCAAAAGCGGAGCAACATCTTTGGCCAGTGTAGCAATAACATAGATATCATCCCGAGATACCGATACCAAATAATATTTAGACGTGTGCAAAATTGGTGGCACTTCCGTACTGTGATCGTACTTATTCACCTCGTCCCAAAAGAAGTCGCACACATTTCGCGGCGTGACTCCGCGCCAATGGCGTTCAATCAATACCTCGCCGCTCGAGCCTGTGACGAAGAGCGATTTGATCATTTCTCCAGCCAAGGTGGCCTAAGCTAAAGTTTAACCGGTTCATGAGTCCGAACTTTTAACTCTATACGCAGACATCATCTGGTTGGCTACCTGTATGAGTTTTACACAGGCAACGCGCTCAACATTCCAACATATATCGATAATGAAGATGTAGTAACCAGAAGCCAGGAGCTAAAGACATCCTAGCGGAATAGACATCACACTCGCGTTACGGCAGTACAATATGTTTCCGGTAACGAGTTAGTGAGTTTAGACCACCTATCATCATCCAGCTAAATAAAACTGCTGGTTGTGGTGGTCCTCTCCCAGCTCGCCGCTTCCCCGGGGTCCGGGGTGGCGCGGCTTATATTTTTGGCCCGCCCACCACCCTCCTTCGGCACAAATGAAGCACCCGCCCTGCCCTACCCTCCTCCATCCCCGCTGAGGTGGCTGCGCCATCCAAGCGCGGTCCGTCGGCCTTCATTCTGGCATCTTTAATTGAAACTGAGCTCAAACCCCCCTTGAGGGAGGATTTTACTTGCTTCCTTTAGCTCAGGCTAGTGGGAGATACGAAAGGCCAAGTGGACGGACACGATCACAACCTCGGATTCGGCATCCGACACCGCGGGCGAACATACAAGTATGAAGTTTTGAATTCGATAATCCTCCACCTGCCCACTGGGCGAGCCCACGAACCCTATATCCACTCTCGGGGGATGCTAGTATGGGTTCCGACGTTGAGTACTGGAGCGACTCGTACGCAGGTGGGCGTCCTGGGCGCCGCTCTGGCAATCAAATGTGTATAGGTGCCGTTGACGAATTAGCAGTGCGAGTGTCGTCTATCCGAGAGCTATCCGGCTGCGACTTCAGGGATATCGTGCGCGCTGTGTGAATTCCTGAATCCACCTGGCTATTTTATCTGACGCCTTCAGGCGGCTGAATGTGATACAAAGTTGAGCCGAGCTAAATCTATCAAGAAATCATACTGCCTGGAAATGCGACTTTTAAGGGACCAGAAAATTAAGGGGTTGCATAACTGCAAACTGAAGGAGCTGGATAGGCGATGCGCAGAGCTGGAGCTTGAGATTGAGTTCGTGCGCGGGGGGAGGGCGAGACGTGAATTGCTCACGTCATCATCTGTGGACCACGCTGGTTGCGACGACAATAAATCCTGCCTGAATGATGCAGCTATCCTCCAAGATCAGACCCAGGATGCACTTTCCAGAACCATAAATCTTGTAGAAGCCTCTAAAGAAGTTGGAAATTCGACGATAAACGAGCACACTATCTTACTGTGTCGATCATACCTACAAAGCGAGTGATGCTGGCCTCTCTCAGGCTCGAGCATCAACAAGAACAGGTGAAGGATATATCAACTGATGTCATGCTCATAGAAGATAATCTATTGCGTGCCGACAAGCTGATTCGGAACTTTACTAAGCGCATGATGACGGATAAACTCATCCTGTGTTTTGCATTTGTTAACATGTGCGCCTTGGTTGGAGCTAGTAGTACCGTGTCCAGATACACTAATGTCCGTTACTAATTTCGTCGTAGATAATTGTGTATTGTGCCATCACCGGGAAGAAACTTGGCACAGGGGACCAGAAAGAAGAGAGTCCAGACGAACGGCGTTAACTAGCGGCCTGTTTTCCCCACGAAAGAACAAATCAATGATAACCACAAGCGCTCGACTCACGTGTCTAAGTTCCTCGATCGCACCCTGCTTACATATCCAGAGGCTGGCCAAGTGGCTGGCTCCAGCTGGCTTTTTCGCAGTTTCCGCTCACTTGGCCTTTTGTATCTCCCACTAGTGTCCCACTTGTAGCTAATGGAATGGGGCAGCCGGCAGCGGGTGTTACGTAGCCAAGATGGCGTGAAAGTGTTCCTAGACACCGGCCACAAAACACTTGACCTTCATATCCAACATTAAACACTCGCCTGGGCAGTTGGCTCGGCTACGGGGAAGGGAGGAGAGTACCACAAGGGCATGTAATCCCAGTTAGGATATCTATTGGTTGCCCATTATTTGTTACAGGCACCTGGGGAGGCGGCCCCCGGACGCGGCGTACCCTGTTGGACACAGGGTTGGACACGCCGGCGCCGGGCACCTATTTCGTGCAGGCCAAGTCTTGCGATGTGTGCGCCCCCTGGAGGCCCACCGGCGGTCAAGCCGGTCCCCTAGGTCCAGGAAGACTCTCCGTCTATTACAGTGCGGGAAGCAACTATAGCAGGGTTAGAAAGTATTAAGGAGGGGAAGGAAATTGGGTGGCTCTGTACCAGCGAGCCACTAGGGAGATACAAAACTCTCTATCTCTCTAGGCCGTACCCGCGCCCCACACACGCCCACCGTATGTTGATCGACGCGCTCTGCCGAAAGTGAGTTCGAGAGACGTAGCAAGGTCCCTGCCTTTTTTCTTTTACGCCTCCGGCGCCTCCGGCGCCGCTCCGGCGCCTTCGGCGCCGGTTTTTTTTCTTTTTTTTTTCTCTCTTTTTTCCTCTTTTCGGCATGAAAAAAAAATACTATTTTTTTCCATTTGACAAGCAAGATGCGAGTCGGACGGGAAGAGCTGCGGGCGGTGGCAAACCTGTACAGCGACATCAAGGCAACCCGTTCTCTATCGAAGGAAGAGGACGCGCAGATGACTCAAACTTTCGATGCGCACATTGGTGCGTGTTATCCCAGCTATGCTAATCAAAATTACCGAAGGCGCCAGGGTGTGTAATGTCCCTCTTGGACAAGCGGCTTTTAGCTGTACCTCCGGAGGCGGTCGTGGCTCGCCGGGCTGAAAGTTGTCTCGCAGAGCATGGCGCGTTCGATGTATGCTTTCAGGGGGTGACTCGCTTTGCATTTTCTGAGAAAAGGACACAGAAAAAAAATTCGTAGGTTATCGAAATGCTGCCCAAGACGGACCTCATAGGAGAGTCCTTGAAGGATTTGTGTGCTGCGAATGCTAGACTACTCCAAGACCTGGCTCTTGTGGCACGGGATGGGGAAAAGGAGTTGCTTGAGCGGCTGCAAGTAGCAGAGGAGAAGGAAAAGTTCCACCGCCTGAGAGCAGACCAAGCAGATGCTGAGACTGTTGAGCTTCTTGGAGCTGCACGTGAGCTCGAATTCGAGGCAATACAGCATCACACCGAAATGCTCGAGCTCCGGCGTCAACTATATACAGCAAGGCATTTTTTTTCTCAAGCTAACCAGGGTGGGCGGGGCGACCACAAGCAGCTGACAACAACCTCTAGCATAATAAAAAAGCTGAGCTTACAATCACTTCTCGATATCATAGACCAGATACGCACTTCTAAGGCCAAGGCGGATTTGAATGTTCGGTCTACAGGGATGGCATGCGAGACTATGGAGCATCACATGTATGCATTCCTCAGAGAGCGGCAGGTGAATCGGAGCAGGAATTTTCAGCTAGCCCTTATCATGCCTCTATTTTTGTTTAGATATGGGCTTAAGTCGTTGGTGGTCGATCATGCAGCTTCAATCCTCATCGCCGCTTACAAATATAGTGCCATATCTGTCGAGGCGGCCGCCTTTTTACTTGCTACCTACTGGGTCGAGTATTCAGAGAATTGTCACTTCCACGAGAGCTTCAACAAATTGATTTCAAAACCCTATAACGCTTATTTGCGAATCAGGTGATCGATAACAAACTCGCGGAGGAAGCCTTAGGCATGCTGGACCGTATGAAGATGTCGATTCCCCTACTCCTCCGTGGTAAGCTTGATGCCAATCGTGATACAAAACAAAGCGTTGTTACCGACACAACATGTCTCAATAAACTCTCGGATCATTGTTTGCTTTCAAACACTGAGTGGACTTGGGTTATCAATCAGCTCTACAGCGCGCTTGACACAAAACGCACGAAGAGGCTCGTCGACTGTGAAATAATACTTCGCCAGCACGGTGGCCTCATGTACAGTGCTTTTGTTCAAATCCTCCTGGCGTACCTGCTGGAAAAGCAACTGAAGTACATCCGCCCTCTCGTTTGGCAACCCGTGTTGCAATTTCCAATGTCACTGACAAGGTTGTGCCAGGTTCAACAATTTCACATAAAAGATTGCGACGGCGATGGCATCATTGATGCAGACGCTATTCACGATATCGCATACAACTTGGGGGGCGTTGCAAGCGACCGCGGCATGATCGACTTGACAATCACCGCTGCAGACAGCTTCACTTTATCCTCTTCTGTCGCTCTCTTGCAGGCTGAGCTACTCCACCTCCAGGTCCAACAAGCAGCATCTCCCCCAGCTTTTGGCGATTCAGGGTGACTTCCAAGCTGGGCTCCATTTCCAAGCCTGCACGGGGGATGACCGCAGGGAAGGGGCAACGGACCCCTGCCCAGACACTACGGAGCGAAATCTGGGGTTTGCGGTAGCAGAGCAAAGTGGCTTCGAGCTAACTTGAAGCAGTATTCCCGGAGACTGGGCAGTGGCGAACGGGGAAGTGGCATGTCAAAGGATTCTAAGGCCCTTCAACCAACGTACGCGTAAAGTGACCTCGCGGGTTTCGCCTGTTCTGGCCTGGTTGGGCCTGCGACGACCGCGGCCTTTATTCTGGCACTAATTAGTTCCATTCGGCCCAGCCTCCCCTCGAGGGAGGAGTTTACCTTGCTTCTTTTAGATGCTTCTCTAGCCCCAGGCTGGTGGGTAGAGAGATAGAGATATTTGTACCTTCCTAGTGGCTCGCTGGTACAGAGCCACCCAGGATTCTTCCCCTCTCCTTAATACCTTATAACCCTGTTATAGTTGCGTCCCGAACTGTAATAGACGGATGTGGCGGGATAATTGCAAGGTGAAAAGCAAAACTTTTTGAGGCGCCAGCCGCGCGGTGGGAACTATCTGCGTTAAGCTAGCCGCGCCGGGATATTAGTCGGGTCGAGTGGGGCCTAAAGGGAGGCTAAAGACCGGAAAAAAATTCCGCGCGCGTCTACCCCCTGCTGGGTGTATCTTGTGCCGGCACAGTGTGCCGGCAGATCTAGCGGAGCGAAGTGTGCCGGCACAACCAGAAATCGCGTTTTGTCGGTTGACTATCTCGTTATAATAATTAGTGGGAGATACGAGAGGCAAGTGGAAAGAACCAGTACTGCAAGCACCAATTATGAAACCGAAGGATGCGACGATTACCGTCCAATCTTTGGCACGCATGTACCTCGTTCGGCAAGTGCTTGGGCGGTTCGACGAAGAGGACATGGGAACATCGAAGAAGGTCATGACACTCGGTTCCAAGCACTCACAGAAAGCAGATAAAAAAGAAGTGTAAGCATATAACCACAATATATAAGCTAATGCGACCTCGCTAGTTGGCGTCAATTCAAGAAGAAACGAGAACACCAGCAAGATAGAGGTCGCGATCGAATACGGTCACTGAAGGAGGACGTGCAAATGATTAGGATCGAAAGCAGGGGCGCTTCCGTAGGCCCAGATCTCATGGATCACCTTGTGCATCGTTACAAGCCCAAAGGTACACCGTGTGTGGTTTCACGTCTCAGATGCGCCACAGGCGTAACGCAAGCGGACATGTCCAAGTTAGCACGCATAAATGACCGAGCAAATCCGTTCGATCTCCGCTGAAAAGGTACTAGTCCCATCAACCCCGCTGTTCGACCCGTTCTTCTACTGTTGTTCAAATGAGGTCATACTGTAACAAGAGACAGGCCCACTGGCAAGATACCACAGATCGGCCGGATGATCAGACTGCATTGCGCCCTTTTGCCCGGGGAAGGCCCCCGGTACCGGAAGCTTCGTCTCTGCCCTACTCTTTGCCTGCTGATTGATCGGCCGGTCCGATGCTCATCGTCACTGCGGAGGCGAATCCTGCAGCTTGCCACACGCCTTCTTCCAGAGGGTCTCTGCGGTTTAATCCTTCTCATTCGACGATACAGGACTTATGCCGAGGAGACGAGCATTCGATGAGGTTACTTCCAAGTGAATGACCCAGCTGGGTCAAGAATACCGGGAATACTGCCCTCCTTCTGGTAGTCTCGGATTCGATATTCCCGTAGGTCAACAAAATTATTGCGTCGTGGCATCTTAGGAAGGTTGGGCACAGACGGTGCTGCCTGATTCCGCCTCTTGGGGTATGCACGACAACCCACCGTATTGGCCGGTGATTGGCCGGAGGAACTGGAGAAGTTTCGAGTAGTTCCCCCTGCAGGTGACCATTCCCTCTTGGCATCTCGCCTAGCGCCCAGTTTCGATGAGCAATAACAGGTTAAGGGCCGTCTAAGTGGGTGCTAGAACTGACTTAAGAAGGAGACTACTCTCGTAGACTCGGGCACGGTCCCGCACGGACAAACTGCCAGCGAGGTTATTATCATGTACGAAGACAGGAAGGGAGGAAAGTATCAGAAGAGCATAAATCCTAGTGAGGAGCATAAATCCTAGTTAGGATATTGGTTGCTTATTATTTGTTCACCCCCCCAACCAATATTACATGTTCTGGGGAATACTTGTCGCCCAAAGAAATACAATACCCAGCAAAGCACACTCTATACAAGTAGCTAAGACAGCGTACTTACGGTCACCGGTCAGTCAACACAAACGAAGAACCTGTGTTAGCTGTAATTCGACTTCGTTGTGTTTAGGCGACGGCCATAAGTAGCGGGCCAGGCGTAGTGGGCGAGAGAGTGGAAGCTCAGGGTGCTACCGTACGGTAGCTCCGTCATCAAACTGCAGCTGATTATAAGGGGAGAGCCTAACTAGGGTAGGTACAGTACTAATGTGAACAAATAATGAGCAACCATATCCTATGCTGCCTCAGGATATTTGAAACTGGCGTTATTTCTACTAATGCGTTAATTCTACCGTTCATCATCATGGGCGACGAGGGGTCGCGAATAGCAAGGTCTTGGGGTGATCAGGTTGGTTCTTTTGAGCTCATTTTGAAATCCCTAGTCCTGGACTTGAATCGTTTGAACTCTCGTGTCGATGGTTTAGAAAGTCACCACGGTTCACAATTAGACACAACGAAGCGGCAACTCGGCAATTTAGTTGCGAATGTTCAGGGGTTTGTGTCGCAGGAGCAAGCGCTTGCTGATCAGCGACAGAATCGCGAAACCCTGCGCCAATCTTTAAGTCGTTCGACCAGTGTCAGTGAAGGCCAGCATCAAGGCCAGTGCCAAGGCCAGGATTTGGGGACCCTGGATTTGAAACTCCGACCATCCATCCCAGCCGCTGATAACCTGGATCGAAGCTGCGATGCCCGTCCAGCACTGGTAAAGCCTCGGTCCTCTACTGATTGTGGTCAGTCGCGCATGGAGTCGCGTCAAACAGACTTGAAGAGGTCGAGAGCACGGCAACGCTGGCGTTGGGCATTGATGAAAATTAGGATGCGACAAATTCGAGGACGAATACCAATGACATTTGCCTATGTTGGCCGAAGCAATTCGATCGCAATTCGTCTTCAAGAAGTAGAAGCTTTGCTGGATAGCGTTGATTACAACGTACGTCACCTGACCGCTCACGCAGGTCCCGACAAGGTGAACAAAACAGTCCGCATGGCAAATTGGCTTGATGAAGCACTACATGGCGGCGCGGGGCAGGACACTGTAAACAAAAAAGGAATACTATCTCGGCTCCTTGGCTTGGAACACAAAGTAGATGCCGTGTGTGAAATCGCATCTGCTGCAGACACTCGTAGTAAAGGTATCGAGATTTCTTGTGAAAATTTTCGACATGGACTCAGAGAGGCTGGGGAGCAAGCTGTAAGCGCAGTTGAAGATATTTCTTTCTTGCGCAACAAAATTGACCGGGTGGAAACTTTGTCCAGAGATGAGCTCCCTCGTGCTCGACGCCAAGCAGTGGCATTTATTAGTGCGTTGCGAAACACTTGCTTTGCCGCGATGCGCTCAAGGCACGTTGCTGCTTTACCAGGAGGTAAGAGTTTGATCCAAGATTGCCTCTTGCCTATTCATCGTGAGCTTGAAATGGCCAAAGACCTTCAGGTGCCACTGGAGAATGCGGGAGATCGCAAGCAGTGGCGAATCGTGGCACTTCAAGCCGCACGGTATCTCTTTTCAATACTGCACAAAGACAGATTGTCACAAGACCAAAAGGTCGCAGCAGCTTTGGAGGATAAGCCTTCGCGCATATCTTCACTAGATGACGTGCCCATCGATCTGGTTGGCGAACAAGCCTACAGGGTTGAGAAGGATTACGACGCAGAATTTGTAGTTGATGTCGTTGGTAATATCGCCAACGCACAAGAGCTCGCGCTCACCCGCGCTAAGGATGAAATACCATCCACGCGTGCTCTAACGTATCCTCTAACGTATCCTCGCGCAGGTTGAGGCTTCTTTGAGGTCGCTCAATAATGCTCTTACCTTAGATCCAGAGGAGGAATCTACACAAGTCGGGATGCTAGCACTCCAATCATGGTATTCTGGAGCTGATGGTCCAGGTGGACACTGGATGCATGCTCAATTTTCGAAACTTGACGCTGGTATAGTGGCTGCGCAAGCTGCTCTCGACTATGTGCCAGACGCTCTGAGTGTCGATAAATTAGATGTACGTTTGCGGCTCGTTGAAGATGCCGAAAGCGACCAGAAACACAGCGAGGATACGGGGGGCGCTACTTACGATGCTGCAGCTGTAAAGCAGACACGTGATGATATTGAATCCTTTCGTACCACCCTCACCGAGACATCTCACACTATTGGGAGTCTCCAATCCGAGCTTAGAACAAAAGCGGGTCAGTTAGATACATCTAGCGCGCTGGAGGCTCTCAGACGCGAGCTCATTAAGCTTGCTGCGAACATGGTCGGCAGGAATCAACTCAGCGCCAGCTTAAGCTCGAAGCTCGATCGCCAAGATTTGGGTCGCATCGCAGCACTCATTGCGAACGGGGAACTTGAAGGTATAAATCCTGCCGCAGAACTCCTGCGTCGAGAATTTTTATGACTCCCAAGCAAACAGAAATCCTAGGTTGCAGCCAAACTCCAAGTTCCAAACTTCCGCTGCTTGTGCTGCGATAGACCATTAAGCAAAGCAACTTTCAGCTCGGCAGATTCCAAGAAGAGCAGTCACGAGCTGAACACACCAACTGCAACGAGGCCGCGCCATAAACTCACATGCATGCCCTGATTAATATGTCTTTGCAGATGTGGAATAAGCTTCCAAACTTGCCTCATGGGAACAACGTGTTGGATGCAACTTGCAGGACGCTGGCAGAACCCTGTGATACCTACCCACCCACTCAAAGTTTGGTCGATGAGGAGTCACTGGAGACTATTGTTGGTACAAAACAACACAAGGCAAACTTGGATACGACTGATGGCTCCTCCCTTCAGTCCAGGTTACACATATTCCCTTCGCTTTTCTTGGCATCGGCTGCGTTACACATAGGTCCACGTACTGCCGTTATCCTCGTCTGATGCCCACGCGGAATTCGACGCGCCCCGCATCGAGGAGTGCACACTAGCGTAGACTCCGGTTGTTATTTCGATTCTACGCACTGAGGTGGCTATTCGCACGGGGCTGTATACGCGGCGCAGCTCGTCAGAACTGAGCCAGCTTGCGGACGCCACGTCGCAGCATTCTTGCATGAGAAGAGGAACGTTGCGTCCGGAAGTCCGGCGTCGGCGTCCGGCTGCGTCCGGATTCGCGTCCGGCGCTGACGTCCGGCGCCGTCCGGCGCCGTCCGGCGGAATTTTAACTTGCCAGATCAGGTGAACCATAGCCCTAGCGTTATGGCCTTGGGTTGAGAGGGGAAGGCCTCACACCCTCGGTACATGTGCAGGCCTAATCTAGAGCGCATTAGAAGCAGCCCAAGAGCCAGCCCGTGCCGCAGCTCGCGCCGTCGTCGCTGCCCCCCGGCCCGACCATGGCGGGCCCGCTGCTCGTCTGGGAGTCCGGCGCGACGTTGTCCGTGCACGGCTTGACGGTGGCGCATTCCGGCTCCCGTCCCATCCAGTGTCGGTTGGCTGCGGCGACTTCAGGTCGTGCGCGAGCACGCTGGTTCGGCGCCCCCGGGCACCTCTGGGTTCGGGCCCTCGAGGCCGCCGACTTCCGCGTTCGAGGGGGGCGCACGACCGTGCCGCGCTCCATGGAGGCGCGCTGGCTCGAGACTCTCCGCGGCGCCCGAATCGCTCGCCGCCGCGCGGCGGGCTTTCAGGGCAACCGCGTGCACGTCCGAGACCCACGGCGCCAGCCTCTGCGGCGTGGGCTACGCCGAGCCCAAGCAGACCTTCCCCGGCGACATCATCTGCCGTACCTACGCCTTCGCCGAAGAGCTGGCGCGCGCTGTCCAGTCCCGCGCGCCTCGCGCGGGCCTCGACTTAAAACACCGACGCATCTACGGACGCACTCGTCGGTGGGGGAGAGCCGAGGGAGACGCCGCCCCCCCGGGCCGACGGCAGGCCTTTCAGACCACGCCCTGGCCCCGCTTGACCTCCCCCTCCGCTCAGTCGAATCAACTGTGCTTAAACAGTTCATGAGTCAACTGATAGACCATTAATCGATTGGACTCTCTGAGTAATCATGAACAGTGATTATGGTGGGCGCCAAAACACCCCCTGGCGACCCTCCCGCTGGACCCCAGCGCATCAGGGGTCCGTCCAACATGTCCTCTGGAGGACCAAAGCTGAAAAGCAGCCATCCATGCCGAAA